ACTTTTATCTATGAAATTATCTCATAGATCGACGTCTGATTGTGACTTGGCCATACGTGCGCACGTTTTTGTCACCAATCTGACCGCACCCGTACGAATGTGTTCTCCCACTGACAACATATTCCAGATGACTTCAATTCAGGAATACACCAGCCAATTGGAAATGATCAAGTATGAAGAGGCACACCATATTATGATGTGGTCACATTTAATCTAACATCTCCCACTTGATCACATTATAATGAGGTGAAAAATCCAAAGTTGATCATGTTTACCTTGGTACCAAAATTTTGCCACATGTCAACTTTTATCTATGAAATTATCTCATAGATCGACGTCTGATTGTGACTTGGCCATACGTGCCCACGTTTTTGTCACCAATCCGACCGCACCCGTACGAATGTGTTCTCCCACTGACAACACATTCCAGATGACTTCAATTCACTATATAACAAGTGAACGACATCAATTTTCAGTGATGGGTTCATAGTCCATTCCCAATCACCATTGACAACTTCAGTCGTACACATTTTTTATGTGTCGACCTGCACTGAAATTATTGTTAAGTACTTCCTTTAAGACCCATTCCTGAAGGTTTTCCTTAACACACCTTATCAATGGCTTTTTGCTGATCAAGCAGACAATATCATCTAGTTAGCACGTTGCATATTATGGACTTTACATCTCATGCTAACTATGATATCCGTACCTTGTTAGTTCCTCTATCTTGTTACCTGACCAACCACATGTTTCCATGCAAGATAGAGTCGCAAAACATCGGTTATCCAGGCGTCCCTAGAGTCATCCGATTATGCTCTTATATAAGTAGCTAAACCACTTAGCTAGGTATTTTTTAATCCCATATCAGCTATATGTTCTCTAAATTTTTCCAGAGACAACCCTTTGGTCATAGGGTCAACCACCATCTCTTCTAAGGGTAGATAGTTGACTTTAATTTCACCTCTCTCCACTATGTCCTGAATATAGTGGTAACTTACATAAATATGTTTTCCTTTAGAGCTATTTGCTCCACTTTTAATTAATGAGATGGTAGACTGATTGTCACAAAACATATTGACCGGTCTGACAGGTATACCTAATTGTAAACTGTCAACAAATCGTTTTATCCAGACTGCATTACTAACGGCTGTGCTGTAAGCTATGTATTCAGCTTCCATAGTATACTTTGCAACACAACTCTGTTTCTTACTTAACCAAGAAACTGCTGTTCTACCAAACAAGAACACATGACCACTAGTAGATCTTCTATCATCTACACTTCCTGTAAAATCCTCGTCAGTGTATCCTTTTATGTCTAGATCACATAAACCAAAACATAACTTCAAATTTTTAGTACCTTTTAAATTTCTGAATATTCTTTTGACTGCTTGCCAATGTTCCGTACCTGGATTGGTTTGAAATCGACTTACCAATCCGACTGCATGACAGATGTCAGGTCTAGTGCTTGTCATAGCATACAGTAGGCTGCCTACTGCGTAAGCATACGGGACATTTCTCATTTCCTCAATGTCAGACTTAGTTTGAGGACTCATACTTTTACTAAGACTTTGTCCCTTGCAAACATGCGTACTTAAAGAATTACAGTTATTCATATTAAGTCTTTTGAGTACCTTGTCTAGATATTTCTCTTGATCTAGATATAATAATTTTGAATTTCTATCTCTTGAAATTCTAATTCCTAGAACATAGGTTGCAAGACCCATGTCTTTCATTTCAAATCTAGATGCTAAGAAAGTTTTGGTTTTTATAATCATATCTGGACAATTTCCTACTAACAATATGTCATCCACGTATAAAGATAATATTGCTAACTTGACATCATTTTTTCAGATATAAACACAGTGATCTAATGGACTCACAACATAGCCCATTTCTAAAATGGCTTGGTGGAATTTCAAGTACCATTGTCTTGAAGATTGTTTAAGTCCATATAGAGATTTCTTCAACTTGTAGACTTTATCCTCGTTGCCTTGGTTCTAGAAACCATCAGGTTGAATCATATAAATTTCCTCTTTTAATTCTCCATTGAGAAAAGCAGTTTTAACATCTAATTGATGCAATTCCAAATCCATCCTGGCTACTACCGCTATTAGAATCCTTATAGAGGCAAATTTTGCAACAGGAGAATATGTATCTACGAAGTCTATTCCAGGTTGTTGAGTGAATCCTTTGGCTACTAACCTGGCCTTGTATTTCTCCAAACTTCCATCTACTTTGAATTTCTTTCTAAGAACCCATTTGCAACCAATGGCTTTTCTTCCATTCGGGAGATCGGTTAATTCCCACACATCATTTTTCTTGATCGAGTCAAGTTCTTCATTCATTGCCTCAAACCATTGAGTAGCATCACTGCTACTCATTGCTTCATTATAAGTAGTAGGATCATCCACTAAGTTATTAATTTCTTCAACTTGAAAAACATAATGATCTTTAAAAAACGTAGATGGATGTCTTGCTCTTTTACTCCCACTTATCTCAGGATTCGAAGCAGGTAAAGTAACGTCATGTAATTTGCGTTTGCTCCCACTATTAGATGGTTCGGGAAGAATATGTTGACTGTGTGACAAAGAAGGAAGAGAAGAATCCTGAGATACTTTAGAGAGCAATTCAATTTGTTCAATAGGAGTAACAAGATCAGTGAATTCAAGAAAAATAGCATCTCTACTTTCTATTAATCCACATTCGGATGGAAAAAACGATAACCACTCCCATTTTCGACATAACCAATAAACTTGCATTCTTAAGTTTTGCTTCCCAATTTATCCCTTAAAGGTTTGGGAATAAGCACATGTGCCTTCCATCCCCAAACTTTGAGATTTTGAACATTAGGTTTAGTTCCATGCCAGTATTCGTAAGGAGTTAGAGGTTTGGTTTTTGTTTCAACTTTATTTAATATGTACGCAGCGATGGACAGGGCTTCTCCCAAAAAATGAATAGGAAGATTAGCATGAGCCATCATAGACCTTGTCATTTCCATGAGAGTACGATTTCATCTTTCTGTGACCCCATTTTGTTGTGGTGTGTATGGCATTGTAAACAAATGTTTTATGCCACATTGTCCTTGCAGAAAGAATCCATAGCTTCATATTCGCCACCTCTATCATTATTCAAGTGTTTAATGAACTGACCAAGGTGCTTTTCTACTTCTAATTTATATTCCTTAAACTTGTCAATTGCTTCTGATTTGTGTTTAAGAAGGTAGATATGTCCATATCTTGAATAATCATCAGTAAAAGTAATAAAATATTCCATGTCTCGATGAGTTTTAGTTCTTAAAGGGCCATAAATGTCCGAATGAATTATTTCGAGTAATTCTGACGATTTCCAATGTTTGAAAAATGGCTTGCTAGTCATTTTGCCTTTGATACATGGTTCACATATATCAAAATCATCGAAACATACTTTAGGCAATAAGCCACTATTAAACATTTGAGACATTTTATTTTCATTAATGTGACCTAACCTTAAATGCCACAAATAAGAACTATTATTAGTAGAAACATGCAAATAATCAGAAATACATACTTTATTATCAATAGGAAGAGAGTACATGTCATTCACTCTTACACATTTCACTAATACACTTCATTTCTTAATCAATACTGTGCTAAACCTAAAACTAATCTCAAAACTTTTTTGAGTTAACATCGGAACTGAAATTAAATTTCGCCAAATGTTGGGTACATAAAGCACATCATGAAGCACAATAGAAGTTCCATTAATAGAGAATTGACAGTTGCCGATACCCAAAACATCATTATAGGAGTTGTTGCCCATGTAGATTCTGTGTTCATCAACCTTCTTTTCAGTAAACTCCATGAACATGTCTTTATTTTGCACACTATGCCTAGTTGCAGCAGAATTAATCCACCATGAATTTGATGAAGGTTTAAGCACCATTACTTTAGAAATTGTCATGGCAACAAGGTTATGATCTTTTTTCTGCTTCTTCTGAGGACAATTGGCTTTGATATGACCTTTTTGACCGCACTTGTAACATGGACCTATCTGATGCTTGTGATGTTGTTGTTTTGCCATTCTTGCGGTTTCTTCCATCCTTTCTGAAATCCCTTATTCCATTTTCTCTTGAAAGAAGTTGTCTTTTTCTTGTTGAATGGTGTGTGGGTATTATTCTGTGGTTGTGGTGAAGATTGTGCCATCAACAAGTTAGAAGACAATCCTTCTTTACGCCTATGCTTCATCCGTTCTTCTTCCAAAACTAAGAGTATAGGCAATGTTACCATTGAAATCTCTCGTCCGCTATGAGTTAGAGATGTGATAACATGATCCCAAGACAATAGAAGACTATTAAGCATGGTAGTTACTTGCATCTTGTCCGACAAAGAGTGACCAGCGTTGGATAATTCTTTAGCAATTAATTCCATTTGATTAACATGATCACCAACACTATCATTATCACTCATACGAGTGTTATTATATTTGTTCAAGAGCGATTGAATTTGAGTATCCGATCGAACTCCATACTTACTTTTTAGTGCTTCCATTAGTTGTCTTGCAGTTTCATGTTCTTCAAAGAGCGGAATAATGTTATCTTTCATATTATGTAACATAGTTGCCTTTGCCATTACATCATCTTCTATCCATTTATTTTGGAACCAATTAGAATCATCATCTGGTTTAGAAGTGGATAAAGTATACAATGTTTTCTCATGTGTAAGAAGATAAGAAATGTGGCGTTTCCATGTTCGGAAATTATTTCCATTAAGCATCTCGGTTCTCGAAGAATCCATTGTATTTTTAATAGCCATATTAAAAACAAAATGTGTTACTATGAAAATTCAAATGTGAATGTTACAATACTAAACTAAAAATAAAAATAAGCAAAATTAAAGACAACAACAGGTCTTAATAAGGATAAGCTTTGTAGTTGTTGAATCGGCCCTTGTGATGAAAATAATGTGAAGGAACAGAACGGTTCTGTTGCCTTGGGTAAGAAGAATGATGAAAACCCAATGGCCTTTTAAACCCAACACTTTGCTTATGAGTATTGTAATAATAGTTACGAGCCCAAGGAACACAATGGTGCCTTTGAAACAATGTTTCTATGGATGTTTTCCTTGGTAACACCCTTGGATAGCCTTCTTCTTGAATTTTTTGTTTTGAAAATGTAGAACAAGTACCCACAGAAAAATTCTTAGAAAAATTCTGGAAATTTTGGCTTTTGAATGACTAAAAACGGCCTTGAAATAAGCGAGAACGAGCTGAAAAACCCCTTGAACCAATCTGTCGGTTCAATGTTTTGGCTGAACCAGCTTGAACCGTCTTGAACCGCTGGTCAACGCACGGGTCAACGTGCGGATCAGTGCGCGGGTTAGTACGCGGGTCGTGCGGAGCAGACGGACGCAAGTCTGGGCGCGGTGTGCTGGGCGCTTGGTCGACGCGCGGATCTGGGCGCGAGACGCTGGGCCGCGGCTTTGGGCTACTGGGCTGAGTCGCTGGGCTGGGTGGTCCTTGAGGCTTTGGGTTGTTGGGCTCCGCCTGGCAGACTTGGGTCGATTTCTGAATTGGCCCAAAAAATGTATTTTTAATTTTTAGGTCCAAAGGAATTGATTTCCTTGCAGTAAACTTTATTTTGGGCCCTCTTTTTAATTTTGAATTCAGCCCAAGCCTTTTAGTTTGCAAAACAAAGTCTTCTTCTTGGCACTGAATTTTCCGATCGTCTTCTTCGGTGGGGGTATGAGACCAAACACTGTAAGTTGGATCTTCTGGATCAAATTTTCTCCGTTTTTCATGATCAAAATTTTGAGAAGAACAAGATGGTGCCAATTTGGAGATGCAATTTGAAGCGAAAAATATTTTGTAAAATTGTTTCCAACGGTGTAATTCGGACTCACTTTCGGCAAGGTTTGAAACAATAGCACCACCAACAGTTATTTTCTTCGGATAGTTGTTTGGAAATACAATACGTTGATGATGATTATATAAACAAACCGAAATAACCAATGCCGAAGATTGACAATCAATGATTTTCTGAATTTTTGGTAAAAAGAGTTTGGAAAATTTTTGTTCTTCTAGACTATATTTCGACATCTGCGATAATGTGTAAACAGGCTTTGATACCACTAAAAGATATACTTTACAATGGCTAAATGATTGGAATTCCCGTGAGGGTATTTATCATGCAAGATGGAATCAATAATCCGAAAGCAAAGGTTATTCAATGGTTCTAAAACTTGTATATGAAAAACACATCCTGCCATTGCTTTTATAAACACAATGGCAACCATGCCAAAGGTCACAACCTTTGGGTACACAAACTTACAACCACAATTGTCATGAAACAATGTGCCCATTGTGTTCAAATTCAAATTCTTAACTTACCAGATTGTTCCATTTCCTTGCGGGAAGGAATACACTAGCCAATTGGAAATGATCAAGTATGGAGAGGCACACCATATTATGATGTGGTCACATTTAACCTAATAGGAAGTGTATGCATCATCATAATGGCAACATATATCTGTTATGATGTGCATAAAAAAAATTAGCTCATGAAAAGGTGTAGAGCCAATAAACCCCTTAAGCCACCCAAAGTCAATAAGGTTGTCTGTAGCTGTGGCTCTATAAATAAATTGAACAATCATGGGACATAGCTTCGGAGGGATACACACACTAGTCGTATGCATGTACCTATAGAACTTGTCTTGAATCCCCAACCTCCCAATTATTCCATTCCATTTTTTATGATTGTTTTCCTTTTTCAATAGATCAATTTGCCCTATCTTTTTAGACCACTTATTCTTTCCAAAAAACCAAGGAAATTTTTGCCACAATTGATTTTCCCATTTGCCTTTGCCGCGCTTAATTAGCCAAAGCATTGCCCGATCAGAGAATAATAACAAAATGACTGCATAAATCTCCAAAGCTAGAGCTCCGACCAATAGTGCCCCTGTGATGACAATATCAACCATGGAGTAGTGCTGCTTGTGCCACTTGGCGATAAGCCAGAAGAGTCCTACCAACACAGACACTGTACACATGAAGTTGATAGAGCGAAAAATGCACCCTCTCTTGGTAAATGTTATGGGTGCTTTTGTGTATAACAAATCGTACATGAGCCCCATTTCAACCTCCAATACATTCTCACATTCTATATAATCATCCAGATTTATTGCATCTGGATTTAGTTTTGCATACCGTAGTTTTTTTTTTTTGGATCAGAAAAGGGGAGTATATTAATCACCAAACTGGGTTACATCTGAATAGAGAAGAGTAACAAAAGAGCTAGGCAGATGAACAGTCCATACCGTAGTTTGAAACTAGATCTACGAATGTCATAATTCTCTCTATAATCTTTAAATTCCATCACTAGATTGTGGGCCATTATTAAATCATTTTCACATGTCCTTTTTCCGATGAAGCGAGCTAGACCATGTGGGCCTCTTAGATCATAAAAGGGTACAATGTTTTTTGATTCATCATGGCATGCTAACTTAAGAGCCCATGTCCTCTCCCCGTACTTAATAATTCTAGCCACGAATGCCGGAATTAACATAAATGAAAACCAGAAATGCCTCCAAGACATAACAATGACATAAATTGCCACAGTAACTTGAACACTCATGCCCAAAAAATGCCTTATCCATAATTGATTATCATTCAAAGAATAAGCAGTTATGGTATCTGGGCCACCAAGATGCAATAAAAGGAAGGGTGCCCATAATGCCTGTAATGTATTATTGGGATTAGGAATATTATTTAGGGTATGAGAGAGCTTGCCAAGGGCGACAGTTGCCACCCAATCGGCCATTGTGTAGGCCAACCAGACAATCACATTAATCCATTGTGACAATATATTCTTTCTGCGTTTGCCAAAGACGAAAAGAATGATTTGTAAAGTGAAACTAAGTAGAACCAGCATCTGAACTTTCCACACATCCCATAGTATCTTCCACGATACTGGAATCAGATTCATCACACCATTCTCTTCTTTATCCACATGCAAAGAAAATTAAGTTATTATAAGTAAACATAGATGGATAAATATGAACTGAACATTGTTATTCAACTTAAAAAATTAGATGTGGCACTTATATTTTTTCTAATCATCAACCAATTATCTCACTTATACATTATAAAAAGTGGACTTGTATATCATTTTTCATATAAATTATATATATATATATATCTATCGTGGTAACACATTATAATAGAGAATGAATATTCAAAAATTTCTACAACACAAACTCATTTTTTATTTTTTTTCTTCTTATTGTGCACCATATGCAAGTTATAATAATTTATGGTGTCAATAGTACAAAGTGTCTTAACCAAACCACTTTCGGTCAATACTAAAGAAATCAAAATTGGTCATAACTAATACCCTAATGAGTAATAATTAAAACCACAATAAATCATAGTCAACATCAAAATAAGTCATAATTAAACGCCACTTGTGTCATAACCAAAGACGTTTTTAGTCATAACCAAATAACAACCATAACATAAAGAATAAAAATAAAAAACCACAATAACTACTGACTTTCATAGATAATAAATAAATAAATAAATAACAACCATAATAAATCATCACAAAGTCCTAACCAATACCCTAAATTTCTTTTTTGACTTTCTATATTTATATTTTTGAATTCCAAAATTATAGATATGGTTGATGGCCAATATTTCTATGCCATGTGCATTTCTTAAAATTTAAAAACTTAATAAATTTAGATTAATACTTTGGAGCTCATAAAATATTTTCAGATGAAAAGTTTATTTTACTTGGTGGGGCTTTTTTGAGCCAACTTATGGCTTCTGGCTTTCAAAAAGTTATTTTGGACTGTTTGGTTAAACTTATTTCAAACAGCTTCTGATTCTAACAACTTATTTTAAGTCAAAAAAGTTGATTCTGAGAAGCTGCTCACCCCTTACTTCTGATTATCAGCTTCTGCTGTGGACATCTTAATTCACGGTTATACTCTTAGATTTTTTTTTTAATTTTTTGTTTTAAATAGAAAAAGACCCAAATGGATTATAAAATATTATTATTATTTTTTATGAGAAATGTAGACAAATAGTGAATAATAAAAAATAAAAGTTAATTGAAAAAGCTACTTCACAGCTTATTTAACAAACACTACTCAGCAACTTAAATCTATAATCCAACAACTATACCAAACAAATTAATAGCTTCTGATTAAAGTCATAATCTATAATCTGTTTTAACAGCTATACCAAATAGGACCATATGTAGTATAAATCGATAGATTATTCAATCAGTAAAATTGATAAGTGGGGCCAACTAGAACGACACAATCCTCTCTCAACATTAATTATATGCGTATGTACCTATTGAAAAATCAAATACAAGGTCTTAAACGGGCTTAGCAATGTAGGGAACCACAACAAGAGATCTGCAAGTAACCCCCTCAAGTAAGAAATTTCATTTGAAGCTACCATATAATTGTTTCTACATTATTTTGCAAAATATTTGAACCTCGAAAAACATTTCTCATAAACAACGTTGTTTCTCATAAACAATAATGTAGGACAAATCAAGATTAACTTTATAGAAGTTAGAATCTCACTTGGTGACTCCTGCAATGATATTAAATTCTTATTGTGGCTAACATGTAAACTAAAAAATAGAAGTTAGAAAATGCCAACTAATTAAAAAGAAAAAATATATACATTCTTAAAAAGAAGAAAAGAAAACCACTCTTTCGTACCTCTATTTTGTAGCCTGTGATGACTTTGAAAGCAAGAAGATCAATGATGATATGGTACTCCATATTACCTCCCAATCCTTATATTTATATAGAAACAAAGTATGTCAAATGACAAAAGAAGATAATAAATTACTTGCTTGCATTTTGGTGTAGGAAAAAAATGAGGAGAGAACAAATTACTTGCTTGCAATCTGATTTAGAAAAAAGGGAGAACAAATTACTTACTTGTTCCTTACATTTATATATACAAAAAGTGTATCAAAGGACAAAGAAGAAAAATAAAAATAAAACAATCTACTAGCTTGGAATCTAGTTTAGATAACAAAGCGAATTTAACCAGCCACATAATGTTTAGAAATCAAAGCAAATTTAACCAGCCACATGGTGTTTAAAATTTGGCAACAATTGTCCTGCACTTGACATTTAACAGAATTTAGCCCATTGACCAGAATTCTTGCACCATACTAAGAGGTCAAGAGTTTGATACCTCCTACCTGCATGAGGGTCCTATTCACCTTGCAATCGTTTTGGGTATCTCTTTCTTTGGGAGTTTATTTGTAGTTCTCTATGTTATTAATTGTTAATTCAAACTACTTCAATGTTTTGAGAAAAAATGTAATTAAAAATGGGTTACCCACGCTAATGATCTTCAAAGGATACATTATACTCTATTTTTGTCCCAATTTTTAATTGTTCCATTTTTTCCCTTAAATTATGTGATTTGTTACACTTTAATTCCTAACGTTAATACTATTCAAAATCAATAACACAAAATAAGTATTTTTAAAAAATTTCATCAAACTCAACAAAGTCAAAATAACAAATAAGAAGGAATTGGTGGAATTAATCAAAACAAGAACTCACTACAACATATAAGAGTTTTAGATATCAAATGTTTTGGTCTTTAAAAGTGAAAATTTTGTTACAAAAGACATTTAGAGACTAATTTCTATCATCATGAAGATAAATGCTAAAAAGTTGTCTCGAAAAGTCAAAAATAAGACTTTTAGCGACAAAATTTTGAAAATGTCACTAATAAATATACTTTTAGGAACAAAATAATCCGGTCTCAAAATGGTTTATTTTTTGAAATAAAAAATTTGGCCCCAAAAAGATAATAATTCATCACTAATGTCTAATTTTCGTTGCTAAAAATATAGTAACGATACTTTTCGCAACAAAAATATTTGGTTCCTAAAAAATAATTTTATTCCTAAATTTTAGTCTCTAAAACCTTAATTTTTTGTAGTGACTACTTTACGTGTGAGGGCTTATGCATCAAGTTCTAATTTTTTCCGGTTAGTATTTTTGTTAAGATGCATTAATGGAATAATATGGATTAAATTTTAAAAATTAAGGGGAAATGAAACTGACTACGTTGTAATCTTATGTTCTGTTTGTTTGAGCGAAAAATATTTTTAAATGAAAATTATATTTTACAAAAAAAAAAAATTCAAAAAATATTTTCTAGAGAAAATATTTTTCTATATTCAGTGGTGGTGGTTAAACAAAGGTGGAGGTGGTGGCATGGTGGTGGGGCGTCAAAAGTAGTGATGGTGGCAGTGGTCGTAGCCGTGGTGATGGTGGTGTGGTGGTGGAGGCGAGATGACAGTGGTAGTGTGGAGGCATTGGTAAGATTTTAATCCGAAAAACGTTTTCTACCTTTTAAAGTGCAAAATATTTTTTGTCCATATAAAATTGTTTTATGTTGATTATAAAAAATATTTTCCGTTAACTTTTATTTTTTATTGTTTCAAATATCAAAATATTATATATATATTTTTCATAAAATATTTTCCTACCAAACTCAAATGGTTGCGTGCCATTTTTTTTTGATAAGCTTGGGGGATGTTGTTTTGATGTGCCCAACCTTTCATGAGGTTAAGGAAAATTAGGTTCAAAAAGGCAAAAATGCCGTCGCAAAACATTAGCGACGGCACTTACCGTCGCAAAAACTCTTTTGCAACCCCTGCAGTTGCGACCCCCCTCTTGCCGTCGCAAAAAGTAGTTTTGCCGTCGCAAAAAGTATTAGTGACGGCATTGGGAGTATTAGCGACGGTATTTTACCGTCGCAAAAAGTCAATTTTTTTGTAGTGTCACTACAACATATAAGAGTTTTAGATATCAAATGTTTTGGTCTTTAAAAGTGAAAATTTTGTTACAAAAGACATTTAGAGACTAATTTCTATCATCATGAAGATAAATGCTAAAAAGTTGTCTCGAAAAGTCAAAAATAAGACTTTTAGCGACAAAATTTTGAAAATGTCACTAATAAATATACTTTTAGGAACAAAATAATCCGGTCTCAAAATGGTTTATTTTTTGAAATAAAAAATTTGGCCCCAAAAAGATAATAATTCATCACTAATGTCTAATTTTCGTTGCTAAAAATATAATAACGATACTTTTTGCAACAAAAATATTTGGTTCCTAAAAAATAATTTTATCCCTAAATTTTAGTTTCTAAAACCTTGATTTTTTGTAGTGACTACTTTACGTGTGAGGGCTTATGCATCAAGTTCTAATTTTTTCCGATTAGTATTTTTGTTAAGATGCATTAATGGAATAATATGGATTAAAGTTTAAAAATTAAGGGGAAATGAAACTGACTAGGTTGTAATCTTATGTTCCGTTTGTTTGAGCGAAAAATATTTTTAAATGAAAATTATATTTTACAAAAAAAAAAAAAAAATTCAGAAAATATTTTTCTATATTTAGTGGTGGTGGTTAAACAAAGGTGGAGGTGGTGGCATGGTGGTGGGGCGTCGAAAGTAGTGATGGTGGCAATGGCCGTGGCCGTGGTGATGGTGGTGTGGTGGTGGAGGCGAGATGACAGTGGTAGTGTGGAGGCATTGGTAAGATTTTAATCCGGAAAACGTTTTCTACCTTTTAAAGTGAAAAACATTTTTTGTCCATATAAAATTGTTTTATGTTGATTATAAAAAAATTTTCTGTTAACTTTTATTTTTTATTGTTTCAAATATCAAAATATTATATATATATTTTTCATAAAATATTTTCCTACCAAACTCAAATGGTTGCGTGCCATTTTTTTTTGATAAGCTTGGGGGATGTTGTTTTGATGTGCCCAACCTTTCATGAGGTTAAGGAAAATTAGGTTTTTTAAAATTTATTAATTTTTATATTATGAAATTTTTTATGGAAATTATATGTTTAATTCTTGTAAGGACAAATATACTGGTAGTCCCTACATTTTGTCTCTTGTGTCATTTTGATCCATATACTTTCAGTTGACACAATTTTGATCCTTAATTTTAAATTTTGTGTCAATTTGATCTAATTGATAATGTCGTTAGTATTTTTGACTGAAAATAAGTACTAAATTGGTTGAGATTACTCATTGAGGTCAGTAAAATTATAATTTTACTCCAAAAAAATGACACATACCACTTATATGCATATTTTTCATAAAAAAATATTAAGAGTTGCAATCAATTAGACTAAATTGAAACAAAATCATAAATTTAGAATCAAAATTGAGTCAGTTGAAATTATAATAACAAAAATGACATAAGAACCAAAATACATGAATTACTATCGCAATTTGCCCATCTTGTAATTAAAATTCTAAGCGTTAATATTGGGAGAAGTTTTGGATAATGATTTTTTTAGCTGAGCTTTGAATATGAAGTGTTTATTTATTGATCCTTCAGAAAAGGATTTTTTTTTTTTTGTGTGATTATGTATTTTACTCAAAGAATAAATTCTTTCCTGGGCCTCTTGATAAAGAATATTTTTCAATTTTTACAATTGAAGACTTTTGGACAGAGATTATTTGACTGGGACTTGATAAAAAATGAATTTCATAGGGCTTGTTTCACGTTCAAATCAATTTTTGAACGCTCAAAATTAAAAATTGTTTGGTTTTATAATTTATTCAAAATTATTTTTAATAAATTTTTCTATCTCCTCCTTCCCTCACATCCTACACATAAATTAATTATTCTCTCTCTCTCTCTCTCCTCTCTTATTTTCTCACATTATACACATCAATCAATCATTTTTTTCTCTCACACACATTTACTCATCTATCAAAAAAAAAAAAAAAAAAAAATTACATATCATCTCAAATTACAAAACTCCAACTACAAAACTATATATCTATACTATTATTAAGTTAGAGTTCTCAATTGGTTTAGTGAAACCTTACTCTCCTTATGTCACGTGGTAGTATTTTTTATTTTAAAAAAAATTACACAAAGAGGTTGGTAGGACTTAAACCCATGATCAAGGTAGGAGAACTTATACCACTTAAGCTAAGTACATATTATAACATTAATTTCATTATTATTTTATTTTATTTTTACTTATTTGAATTGCACACGCATTTCGTGTGCCACCCGTTAGTTTTTAAAATATACAACTAAATGAATTTTTAAATTTCAAAAATTCTTTTAAAAAACATATCTTTTAAAATTGATTTTAAAACCAAACGAAACAGATCCTTTTAGTCTTTTCGGTAAGGAAAGTATTTTTTTGTTGGATCTTTTAAAAATGACATTTTTTTATTTTTCCAATTATTAAGCTTTTGGAGGAAAAATATTTTGAAGATGCATCCAATATGGGGACTAAAGCCATCGTTTGAATGGCCTACGACATGAGGAGGCCGAGTGTTTGACTGTCATGACTGGACTAACCAGTTGTAGGCCAATCAATTTCTATATGTAAAACCAAAGTATATCAATATCAAAGGACCAAAAAGAAGAGAATAAAATACTTGCTTACAATTTGGTTTATAAAAACAAGGATAGAACAAACTACTTGCTTGCAGTCTGATTTAGAGAAAGGGAGAACAAATTATTTGCTAGCTCATTAAATTTATATATAGAAACAAAGTGCATAAAAAAAAAATTAAAAAAATAAAAGTATACAATTTACTAGATTGGAAAGTGAGAGAGTAATTTTTTGTGAAAATTGGGCCGAGTTGGGAGATGGTCATTATGGCCCACAATACGAAGGGCTGAGTAAAAAGGCCGTAAAGTTACTCCGGTCCAAGAGAGGTACAAAATTACTCCGGTCCGAGAGAAATGTAATATTACTCCGGTCCGGAGGCGAC